GATCTCTGGTGAGGTTGTGTCAGCTGAAAATAACAATAATGTACAGAATTTACATATTTTTGAAGCTCACATGGTCTCGTGGGTTAACCTCACACAGTATGGTTTAAGACTTACTTGTTGGTACCCCCGTTGTTGATGTTCGTGGACATGCTGTAAAGTCTGAACAGATAAAAAGAGACAGACGTCAACATATTATCAAAAGTTAAAGTTATCCTGAGTATGTTATGAGTTATTTTTTGTACAGTGGTAGAGTAACATCTAGATTTACATCTATGCACTATTGTCCTCACATTCCACAACTGTAGCATGTTTTTGAATTGTATTTTAAAATATTTCAGATATATTTCCAAACTCACAAAGATCTTTAAAAGATTGCAAAAATAGCAAAAAAAGGAGGTTATATATATATATATATATATATATATATATATATATATATATATCATTCTGTTTCTTTCTTCTTTTTTTTAATCAGGTACACTTTTTTTCTATTTGAGTACAAATTGTCCTCTGGAGGGCGATCTCAAATCCAAGCCAAAAGCAAATAACTGTCATACATGTTTCAAAACAGCAGATGGCAGTGCTTTTACTGTTTTTGTGTGGCGGTAAACCAGCTGAAAACAATAACATGAATGCTTAGAAACTGCTTCAAAGACACTCAACTTTGTCAAAAATTGTCACATTTATAATCAATGTATAATCATCGGTTTTTCATTTATAAGTTTGAAACCAAACCAATATGTTTACAAGGAATGTTCCTTCTCATTCCCTTCCTTTTAAAGAAGGAAATGAGAATGGATCAATATCCAATCATTTGTTTTTGAGAAGGAACTAACTTGAAGTTAGAAGTGTTCAATTCAGATTTAAAGCCACCAACTATTTCAGTGACATTCAATTAATTTCCATTTTTGTTATAATGCATCAGTTTGGCAGTTTTTCAGATCCCAATGTTGAACGTTCTGAAGGGGTTCTTGTTCAGAGGATTGGACAACGGGAGACAGCGTCACAGATAAAGAAAACATAGACTCTGCAGTCTATGTACAGGGGACATATGTTCCAGGCTTCTAAAAAGTGTTGAGTTTGAAAGGCCTCTTCAAAGTTGCATTGTCAACTGGGACAAGATTTGTGGCAGAGCTGTCAAGAATCCTGCTACTCACCACTCGTAGGGAAGCTTACAGTAGGGCGTTGTAAATAATGCTCTGATGGATTGTCAGTGCTTGGATGAAGGAGGAACAGTGTGGCTTTCTTCCTGGCCAGATCTATACCTCACCCTCGAATCACTTAGATGTTAGTCAATGGGTTTGTTGGGTTACAGGTTTTGAGCGAATCATAAAAAACCCCCAACAGGGTTTATGAGGACATGGGTGTCCTCATAACAGTTAAGTCATTGAATTGTTTTGATGGGGATGCTCCTACGTGGTAGGGGGCTTAATTTTCAGGACTATCACGTCTTACAAAATAAAAAGAGCTGTCTGTGTCTGGATTCTTGGGACAAAGCCAACCATATTTCCAGTCCAGTGTTATACCATCTAATGGAGGACTTCAAATTCTCCAAATTGTTTTGAGGTGTTTTTTTTTTTGGATGGAGAAAAGGTGGTTAATGAAGTGATCTATCATGTTCATGAAAGAGCTCAACGGAAAAGCAAACTCTTGATTTACCAGTTTATGTTTCAAGCTTAACCTACGGTAATCAGGTATGGATTATGACAGAAAGAACAACCTGGTTAAAAGCAGGAAAACAAGTTTCCTGCACAGCACAACTGAACTTTGAGATAAGCCAATGAGCTCCGTCATGAGGTGGGAGACTTAGAAATTAAGTCACTGCTTCCCCATCAGCAATGGGGAATTGAAAGGATACAGGTATATGAACACGGTACCACCTTGGTGAATTCCTGAGAATTCGCCAAGGTGGCAGTTTCAAAGTACTGCAGTCTTTAAAAGCATAGCGCAACTGAACTTTGAGATAAGCCCAAGTTCTGTCCTGCAACATCTAAATGCATCGATGCTTCAACAGACCTGAAACAAAGAAAAGCTTTCATGATCACACCTTTGCAAAACTTGCTGATATGGTTATTTATCCTTTTGATTCACCTGTGTGGGAGCGAAAAAGCATCCAAAGGCTGAGGATAGGAACACTAGAACTGGAGTTACAGACAACTGCTTTAGAGGGTTTCAGGCATATTTGGCTGGAAGAGAACCCTGGGGTAGACCCAAAACTTGTTGGAGGCCTCGTCTAGTAATTCTCAAAAATATGCATCATTGTATCACTGGGAAAAAGGAGGAATAAGTTTTTCTAATGGACCGGTTAATCATCATGATCCAATCTAGTTTAAGCAGAAAACAGTAGATGGATAAATGTATGGTAGAGTAGAAAAACTTAATAGCACAAGTGCACATATGAATGTTCATGTGGATTGAAGAATGTCTTAAAAAATGATGTGAAATCTAACAATTGGTTGTGTTTAGTTAAGAAGTGTATTGTGTTAATGTAGTGCAAAAGGCTTAAGGAGAAGCGATTTGAACAGGTGTGACTAGCAAACTTGTTATTCAGGAATAGGGGCATGAGTAGGCAGGGTGATGGTATGTCACACACCTCATTACCGGCAAACAGTGCTGTCATTATTGCTAATTCTTCAGTGTGTTGTATCATTCTAAAAGAAGAATTCCTACATTCTTGAACAGAAGCCAGGGCAACTGAAGAGAAGCTCCTGTGGCTTCAGTTCAAGCTCTTATGATCAGGGTGTGTTTGTAGATCGGCACAGTAACAATGCCCCATACTTATGAAGAGCAAGACCACAGAGAGTTAGCGTGAAGCAAACTCATCTCAAAATACTTTTAAAAAATAATTAAAGATTTATGAGGAAAAAAATTAAAAAAAGGTAAAGATATGCTAAGGGACTGATATACAGAAAATGTTAATCAGATTAAGTAAATATAAACCCTGAAAGCTGGTGGAATAAACGGTGATGACGAAAGACTTGTGGGCCTGTCATATGACAAATATGTTACACACTGGTCACATGCCCAGCGATTTAAAATATCACATTAATGGATATCATTACACAGGTAATGGCAAAATCTCACTGTGTTGGGAATGGAGATATTAACTTGACAAAAACGATAGAAAGAAATATGTGTATAAATATACACACAAACTGAAGACTGAAACAAAAAAACATTAGAGAAGGACTCACTGTATTGATCCTCAGCCTGGCAGTACTGTCCATCAACAGGAATGCCACTGATGCATCCACATGTGTCACCAGTGATGTTGTCACATGATCCATATGTTACACACTGGTCACATGGCCAACGATACTGATCCTCACATCTGCACTGGTAATCACCACTGATTGGAGAACAAACTGCAGGAAACAAACATTTAATGAATCAAGATTCCAACAGGGGACTTTAAAGGATTTCCCATGATGCTCCTCTGTTACCTGTAGAAAGGTCAAGTTGTGTGACATTCACTGTTGGACTCTGGGTTCGAAAATTGCTGGCATTGCTCAGGAGGTGTCTAAGGAAGTCCACTGTTGTGATGTCCGTTAGATTCAGCTCCAGATCTATCACATATTCAGTTTGAACCAGCAGCTCTGGAAGGCAGTGGAAACAGGAGTTATGTTTGTTTTTTTTATGCTCGTTAATAGACCTCAAAAGAACAAACTTGATGCATTACACATTCACTCTGATTTAGCCAAAGGTATCTAGAATTTAAAAAAAGTAACACATTTGGAAAAGTCATTAAGTTCTAATGAAAGGAAGTTAACACATTTTTACCAATAATGTCTGCATGCCATTGGCTGGGAAGCATCACATGATCTCATGAGAAACCTGTTTATCTACAAGTATGTGAACTCTCTGACACATTGGCATTCATGGATTTTTCAAATGCATTCAGTGTAAAAGAAAAAAAAGTCTTCTCAGTATTTGGCCTGGTTTCAACAAACTCGTGGCACTTTGGAAACAATATCTTGTCTTCTGAAAAATAAAATATATAATTTTTTACCTAAATATATATCATGATCTGTGTTTTTATTTCATTTCAGGTCTTGCCATGTCGAGTAATTATGACCATCTTCCCATATCAGTCTATCCCTTTGTATTTATTTTATTAGTTTATTACTGTATTTTGCTCTGTGTGCATTTCTATTGAGTTTCCTTAGATTAGTGTAAGGGAAACCTCCCTTGATCTAATGTAACACCTGTTACAACACTGGAAACACTCCCAGAAGGCCTACGCACTGAAAAGTGCTGGTACTGGTGCATGCTGGCCAACTTAAACAATGAGAAAATGCGTCCAAGATTTTCTGATAAAAACCTTCCTCACATCTTCATTTTTGCTGGTATTGGCCTACGTGAGGCCAGCTTCAGTAAAACGTTTTATTGTTCTTTATTTTTTTCATTTCTGCTTTCTACTGGCAGCCATTCAGATACAGACATTCCTTAAATTCTCTGCAACATTGCTGAAACTAGTTTGTTTAGGAGATATGATTTATGCAAAGACAAAGACATTTTAGATAGACCTAAAAATTTGAGATGAAATTTTTAAATGCATTCTTCAGTTAATTTAAATGAACACATATTGACAATCCCACACTTTTCCTGTCCATGATGTGTTTTTGTTTTTGTTTGTGGCTGTGCTGCATTTCGATCTTACCTGGAGTGTGTGTTGTAGCAGGACATGATGTAAAGTCTGTAAAGAAAATAATTCAAATGCACATTATGAATGAACCTCATGAAGCAGAGAAATAAAAATGAGCGAGCTTTTCTTTTTAGCAGATCAACACAGTAAAAACAAATAAAGGGATTTGAAGGTTGTATTGAACAACTCACTGTATTGATCCTCAGCCTGGCAGTACTGTCCATCAACAGGAATGCCACTGATGCATCCACATGTGTCACCAGTGATGTTGTCACATGATCCATATGTTACACACTGGTCACATGGCCAACGATACTGATCCTCACATCTGCACTGGTAATCACCACTGATTGGAGAACAAACTGCAGGAAACAAACATTTAATGAATCAAGATTCCAACAGGGGACTTTCCAGGGTTTCCCATGATGCTTCTCTGTTACCTGTAGAGAGGTCAAGTTGTGTGACATTCACTGTTGGACTCTGGGTTCGAAAATTGCTGGCACTGCTCAGGAGGTGTCTAAGGAAGTCCACTGTTGTGATGTCCGTTAGATTCAGCTCCAGATCTATCACATAATCAGTTTGAACCAGCAGCTCTGGAAGGCAGTGGAAACAGGAGTTATGTAAGATTTGGGTTTTGTTTGTCTGAGTAGCATTAAAATTAGGAAACTAAAATAAGACGGAGCTGAACCTCAAATTTCTCGGATTATATTGTTTACAGAATTTATTTTACGTTTGTTCTGTATAAGTTTGCACATTAGCACAAGAATTGCAGTAAAGATATCGATCAGTGTCTGGAAGTCTTTTACATCACTAAATACAGTAAAGTGTAACTTATGCAAATTTCAAATGGCTGTGCATTGTAAAGGGCCATGTTATGACTAAGACCTGCCTTTGTTTGCATTGCGACAGTAAAATGTTACGTTCACTTATAGAACAACACAATTTGGCATAATTGCGAACTGGCAGCATACTTATTCTTGATTATTGAGTCTTTCACTAAAACAGTCCAAAAGGTGCAGCATGCATGGTGATGCTATTAGTCTGAAGTCTGATGATGATTGTATGTACATCTAGGCACAATTTTTTAGCCACTTTTGAAAGAGAATTCCAACAAAAGCTGAGATAAGTCACACTCACTTTTAATCGATATAACAACATATTTATGTTATCACACAATAACTCTGACTGTTTACTTGAAATAATGAGATGATTATCTTCTCTTGAATGCACATGATCGGTTTCTCAGTGTTCTTAAAGCCTTGCTAAGAAGGGACTCAAGCTGAAATTGTCAGATCATGGCACACCTGACACTGATAAACAAACATGCCATGACTTACATGTATAAATCCTATCCCGCTGCTGTCGTATGCATTTGTAGGATGGAATCAAGCTTAACACACACGCACACACACAAACCAATCATCTTGCAAAAACAAAGTTTGTTTTCTTGAGATAAGCTCATTATCTTGAGAAAACCTTTCGGAAAAATATTACGCAGAGAACATAAAGCTCTCGGCTTCCGTACATAAGTCAGTCTGTCTGGATAAACATGACAAACAACAAATAGTATCACCACAGTTTCTCAATCATTTTCCTAGTGGGATTCTCACATTTGATTCTTTTCAAATCTTTCTCTTCATTTCCTTTTTTATTGAAATGTTATTTGCAACTTCAAGAGTACTGCACTCTTCTGACAGATGAGTAATTTTGACTTTTAAGAGTCAGTTGCTGGTGAATAATGACAACTAACTGCTCACAGGGCTATTAATTGTGCACTCATGCAGGATAAATTATAAAATGCATTATAATACACAATACGTATGCCACTGCATTTCTTTAGCTGTGATTACCTGAGATCAGCTGACAGGAAGAGCCATCAGCTGGGATCGCTGAGATGCATTTGCAGATGCCGCTGGATATGGAATCACAAGCTCCATATGCGATGCAGGTGCTGTACGGCCAAGCAAACTGCTCTTCACACTCACACTGGAAACCAGTTACAGTGGAGACACAAACTGTGTGAGGAGAGATGAGAAGAAGATGACTATGTAATGTTGTTACTGCTGCTGTTTGTGTTACAGCCGTCACTCACCTGTTGTAACAGTGATATCCTGGATCTCTGTGGTGTTATCAAGCTGGAGAGGATAACTGGTGGTGTTCAGGGTTGACAGCAGCTGCTCATAGGTTTCCACGTTCGATGCATTTAATAAAATGTTTGCTGAGTAAATCTCGGAGTCTGAAAGCACTGCGAAGATTAACATTTGAAAGGATTCATGTCAATGTTGGATTTTTTTTTTTTTGAGTATGAGCAACTAATTCATGTTCAGCCTTCTCTCATCGCACTAACCACTTCTTTCCTGCCGTATGTGAGGAAGAATGTGTTCTCCTTCCTGCACCTAGGGCAGATGAAAAGTATAAAAACCGTTATTTATTTAAAAATAGAAACGCTCAAATCCCATGTTTTCTGTTCAGTGAAATAAATAAATAAAGTGGTCTTACCAGATAATCCAGGGCAGGAAAGTGCAACTGAAAGTTACGGTTCCTTGTTTCCAAAATAAGCACAGTCACTACAAGGGCAAAGACGGTCAAGGTTTTCAGACTTAAGGCCATTCCTTCCAAGGAAATGAGAGAAGGACAATGGGGGGGAAGAAGGACATCCATTTAGGTTTTGTGAATACACTTTCCAAACGCTAGTATTGTCATTGATTAACATAGGAGTAATTATTCTGACAAAATAAATAGAAATAAGCTCACTCCTAAGGGTACACATACTTTTGGAAGTGGACAGCTCTGATCTATGATGGCCACTGTATAAGATGTTTTAGTGCTTTTCCTACCCTAACCCTATCTGATTTAAATTAGTCATTTATTAATAGGTTCCTAGGCAGATCCAGGATATGCGACAGGGAGATTTGAAAAATGCAATACATTGGCTCTTAAAATTAATTCAACCAGCTACCCACCGCTGAAAAGATGCTTAAATTTAAGTTATGTTTGGAAATTTTAGGATCAATTCTGACCCATATTCAGGATTAAAAACATTAAAACAGCAAGTGACCACCACATCACTGTTTAAAATGTCCTTTTAGATTTTGTTTCTTCTATATCTATGAAATACATCAGGTTGGAATAGTAAGTCTTATGAGAACTGACAATCCAAATGGTTGCTGGTACATTTTCAGACAACTTCACAGTGTTTTATTATTATACACACCTTCAGTGACTTAGACTCTTCAAAATGACTTCAGCTGAAGTAGACCAAGATGCCACGCAGTGTTTCCAGTAAATTCAGTGTTGCTGAACAGCATGTTGGGTCTGAGAATATTATCCTTCTACTGTCAGAATGAAACCTGAGAGGAAGTGGGTAAAAAATACATACATTTATGTTATGTTTAAAGAGTAGCTCTGACCAATTAATGTGTAACCAGTTTTTCACCCTTCTCTGGGTTTCTGTCTGCTCTGAAAAAAGGTAGTTTTGCTAGCAGCTACAGTCTCGAGTATGAAAGGTGTTAAAGAAGTTATACTATCAGAGTCAGAGCAAGAATAAAATGTGGAAGAAAAAATATAGAAATTATTTTTTAATATGTCTGCTATTCATAAAAGCTACTACTTTATAAAGAAATTAAAAACAAAGTTTCTCCAGTTATCTTTTAACTTTCAGCCTTTAGTCCTGTAGGAAAGCTCAGGGTTAGGCTAACGGTCTAAATTCTTAACAAAATACCCAAAGGAACCAGGGTCCACAGTGATGAATGCTAATCATTATTATAAAGAGCTAAAACTTTTCAGCTGTTCAGTTT